CCAAAACCATGCGCCCCCCCCCCCCCCCCTCCCTTTAAAACACACACCCCACTAACCCCAGCCCACCTCCAGGCCCAGAGCAGCGCAGCGCCGCTCCAAGCGCCGCTTGAGTGTCTGGAAGGGCAGCGCAGGCTTGGCCACCAGGCACGTCTCCTCCAGGAACACGCGCTGGCCGCCCAGGGGCATGGCGTAGAGGAAGGAGGGCACCTCGTCCGTGGCGTCCCACACACCGTCCCCGCCGGCCGGGTGGCGGCCGGGGCGCAGGCGCGGCGCGCCGCCCGCGCCCAGGCCCACGTGGTGCCGCCGGAAGTCCATGAAGAGCATGACGCCGGGGTCAAAGGCCTCGTCGTAGCCCGCCACCTCCACTTCGATGCCGTACGCCGTCTGCACGGCCACAGCGGGGGCAGAGCTCTCGTACTTGAGGAAGCGCCCCGCCGCCGCGCCGGAGGCCAGGGTCACCAGCCTGTGCGGGATGTGCGAGGGGGCATGCATGCGTCGGGGGGTCCTGGTTGCCCCACAGAGGGCCAGCAACTCCAGGAAACAGTGCGATGTATGTTCCCTGAGCACCGCCAGAGCTGTGTGCTGTTGACTCCACTGCTCTGACGCTACCCAGCAGCTTCAGAGATGCAGACTCGTGCCAACAAATGCCATGCACAGCGCCCACCTCGCAGTCAGGACGGAGCCATCTTGGCAGGTGACCGAGGCTGTGCCGTTCTTCACGCCCACATCCACTACCTCCCCCGGCTGGAAGGTGACACCGTTTGCCTGGCAGGCCTCCACCAGGTGCTGCCGCAGCTTCTGCCTATGCCAACGGTCATGAGCTAGGGAGCTTGAGTCTCATGCTGCACTGATGACCGACTTTGCCCTGTTTCTGGGCACCAAGGTTGGAATTCGGGCAGTCCAGCCACGGTGGGCGCAGTGTGCTCCCACGATAGCACCTGGAGTAGGGTTCAATCAGTCTCCACTTTGGCTGTCAACATAACACTCCTCTCAACACCTCGAGGCCACACCCACCTGTCGACGCGGGCGTATGCCCGCCCCACCCTAGTTGGGCGGCCCTCGGAGAAATAGCACACCGCGTCCCCCCACACTGCATCAGAGGGGGGAAGGGCCAAGTTCGCGCCCTAGAAAGCTCCTCGGAGCAGGGCCATCCACCCACTCCACCATCTGACAATCGCGTTGCAGAATGCAGACCTCCTCCGCCCCCCAAACACAGAGACGCTCACACAGGCGCACACCCAGTTCCACGCAGGCCCCCCACCGTGCTCCAGGGTGTGCTCCAGTCCCAGGGCTTGGAACTCATCCGCCCAGACCCCATAATTGTTGGTGAAGATGCTGGCCGCGTCGCCCACGAGCGTGGTCCTCAGCCCTTGAGCGCCCAGCTCCGCAGCAAGGGCGAGGCCGGCGGGGCCGGCGCCGACGACCAGGACGTCGGGCGAGACGCGGGCGTCGGGCGTGGGGAGGAGGCTGGACAAGGGGTCCTGCTGATCGTCCCGTTTCCGGGCCTGGGGGGCCAATGGGGCAAGGCATTGCCAATGTTGCCGTCCACGCATGCTGCACCCACGGTGTCGCGTTGGGCTTCGGCTGTCATGGCACTGCCACGACTGACCATGGAAGCCCTGCCTGGGCCAGGCTCGCCTCAAGCCCCCCTGCCCTCCTTTCCCCCTTAGGCACCTGGCGTTGGACCAGGGGCTGCTCGTAGGAGCCCTCCCTGCGATCCTGATTTGCTTCCGCGGAGGCATCTGCCACGTCAGAGAGGCTGGGGGCTAGGGAGGGGACCGCCCACTTGGAGGGTCTCAGGGGGCTAGGCGTCACAGCAGCATGGAATCCAGACGGTCTCCTCGGTGGGTTGAGCGAACAAAAGAAAGGTCTTCGAACGATTGTTTGGGATAAGGACGACATCGCCGTCACCTCGGGACAGGCAGCGATCAGACGGTGGCCGTCTGCAGAGGCATTTCGACGGTCCTTCCCCGGTGGAAGATGGGCTGGTGTTCAAGCACTCTCCTAATTGATGCCATGCACAAAAAATTGCACTTCGAAGCGCCTTATCATATGAAGATGTCGAGATGTTGGGCATGGCTCGGCCCCATCGCGGGGTTCGCTGGGCGTGGCCCTTGCAATCTGAAAAAAGATAGAATCTGGCCACGTGGGTGAGTGGGGACTTCCTTGTCTTCGCTCACAGCACTAGCTCGATGTGCAAGCACACTTCATTCTGAACCCTTGCCAAAGGGCAGAATGACCGAAAGGGGTAGGTTAGACTGTTGTTGGTAACACTGTAACGCACGCACTTGCGGGCAAACGCCACTCCGTTAGACGGAGCAAACCCTGAGCCCACTGGATTGATTTGCACATTGTACGTAATGACAAGAGTTTTCTCTGCATTATACACCCCTGTTTTGGGGCGACTGGATGCCCTGATTTGGCATTTGTCAAGTGTATGCTGGTGGAAGGGCACGCGTCATTTGACCCGGACCATTGAAGCCTTCGCCGTGGGTCACCGGGGATGCGACTCGCAGCGTCCCCATTCTGGAGCAGTGAGGACCGTAACTGTCTCAAATACTCCCTATCCCCCTTCTTGTCATCCGTAGCGCAACCATCTTCTGACATCTGCACCCCTGCAGAGACGATCACAAGCATGTCTAAGCCAGTGAGTTGGGTCTGGATTGTTGTGAAGGGATGCGCTTTTGTATGCGCGCAGCATTCACCAACATGAGAATGCCCTCAAACCCCAACAGGTCGTGTTCTTCGATGTCAGCGCGGGCAGCACTCCCTTGGGAAGGATCGAGATGGAGGTGAGCCGTCGCGGGTGGTCTCGATCCCACAGGCCGCGCCAGCGGATCATTTCATGGATTCATGTATAGCACGATGTGCGCTGTCGACGTGCAACGAGGATCTCTGCGTCCCACGGTGGTAGCCCACGAATGAGCTGCACGTGACGCCCCACCCTCCACCGCCCCGTCTGCAGCTGAGGGCCGATGTCGTGCCCAAGACCGCGGAGAACTTCCGTGCCCTGTGTACCGGTGCGTGGGGACTCGGGTACAGGATGGATCATCCCAGGGTCTCGTCCGGAGGTGGTGACCCACCGGTTAAGTCATCATTATGCCACTCTATGACCAGAATGCTGCCTGCCTCCCACCCTGCAGGCGAGAAGGGCACGGGCCGCTCTGGCAAGCCCCTGCACTTCAAGGGCTCCACCTTCCACCGCGTCATCCCCGGATTCATGTGCCAGGGTGGCGACTTCACCGCCGGTGCGTTGCCATGAGTGTCTCTGCATGAGGGCACGGTGGGGCCATGCAGGCATCTCCCAAGGGTCTCCCCCAACCCCCTGCATGCCCCCATACGTGTGTACCAAGCTGCCATCCCAATGATGCATCCTCACCGTCCCCGGTCCCATCGTCCCAGGAAACGGCACTGGCGGCGAGTCCATCTACGGCGCCAAGTTCAACGACGAGAACTTCAAGCTGACGCACACCGGCCCCGGCATCCTGTCCATGGCCAACGCCGGCCCCAACACCAACGGCTCCCAGTTCTTCCTCTGCACCGCCGCCACCGCCTGGCTGGACGGCAAGCACGTCGTGTTTGGCTCCGTGACCAAGGGCCTTGACGTGGTTAAGAAGATCGAGTCCTACGGCTCTGGCTCCGGCGCCACCAAGCAGGTCATCCGCATCACCGACTGCGGCCAGCTGGCCTGAGGGGAAAACCCGCAGAGCGTCCTGATTCGGCGAGCGCTGTGCGGATCCTGATGCATCCCGTCGCTATTCTTGTGTGTAACGCATGACCTCCAGAAGGCCAGAACGAGACTGTCGGCCATCCCGTGGCACCCGGGGACGCCCCTGCCCGACGGCCGTACTGCTGACACTTCTCTGGCGATGTCACGGCGCATGCGTCTGGTGGGCCATCCTATCATGTGACTCTGAGCCGGTACGGGGACCAACCTGCTGGACAATCATGTGCTCCCACTGACTGCAAACGAGACCCTTCGGGTCCGAGGGCCGCTGTGATCAACGGGGTGCCTCTGTCTTGCAATGCCAGGGATGCTGGAGGGGCCACACTACCCCTTGAACCAGAAAGGAGTAACAGGGGGTGCTCACTTTGACTTGGAGTCCATGGCCTGCAGCTCCTCCAGGGCACGCTGGCGCCGCTTCGTCTTGCTTGCGTCTGGTGCGCAGGGGGAAAGGAAAGGGTGAATGGGTCATCCCCATGACTGCAATGGAGGGAGATGGACAGGCAATGGGTGCCCAACCTGAATCAGAAACAGGTGCGCCCGACGCGCACGTACCCTGCACCGAGAGGTAAGATTGGTGCCCATAGTAGGCGATCAGCGCGGCCGCGACAGCGAAGACAGACCACTTCCAGCCATTGACGGTGTTGATGTTGCCGCCGGTAAGCTTGGAGCCCTATGATTGGGAGGTAGGAGGTGTGCAGAAACGGGGTTGAGGTAGAGGACAGGGCGAGAGCACACTTCCCAAGCAGGTGGCAAGGAGGGTGGAGGAGGTGGGTGCAAGCAGTCGAAAACCCGCCCACCCTCCTCCTCAGGCTTACCAGCTCCAGTGCCTTGAACTTCCACTCGTCGACCAGGGTGGAGGTGACAAAGTAAAGGTATGCAGAGCTCGTGCTCTGTGTAAGGATTCAGAAGAGTACAGCATGGTGTTGGAACTGGGCTACTTCCTCCTGGCACTCATCACAATACCAGCATGCTCGCCTGGAATAAGGTGCCCTTCCCAGCAGCAACGCAGAATGCATCTCATCCCCATAATACGTCCGCTCCCCACCTTGACGGAGTCCTCATCGTCCTCGACGGCCTGGTAAGAGACCTGGGTGGGTGGATGCTGGTAGGGACCGGCCTCCTGGGGGTTCACCTGGTAGGTGAAGCGGACGGTGGCGCCAGCGGGGATGGACTCGTAGCTGGCAGAGAGGTCCCCAGACACGGAGAAGAAGGGCTCGGGCCACTTGGACTCGACCGCCTTTACCTCCAGTGCCGACCTGGGAGGGTGGGGGATGCAAGACAAGCAGGCTGTCGGGTGCGGGGAGCACAGAGAGTACTGTCCAAGCGTGTTCCAGCCCCACAGTCCAGGCCACGGGACAAAACGCACACATCCACTCACGTGGATCCGGCATTGTATAGCTCCACCGTGACGGTAGTGGTCTTGCCCTGGATCGGCCGCTTGTCGGCAACCACCCGGCGCACGATCAGGAAGGCGCGGTCGGCGAAGTCAGAGGAGTCTTCATCGTCCACCTCGTCCACATCCTCGGTAGCCCTGCGCATCGAGTTGGCGATCGAGTGAACATTGGCTGAGCGAGGCCACGCCCAAGTGGATACTGCAGTCCCAGGCCTCATCCCACCTGACAGGGGCCAGCAGTGCCGCAAAGGCGAGGAGCGCCAGGAGCGCGAGTGCGGATGTCCTCATGTTAACCTCTGTGTAACGCGAACGGGCCCTTCCCCCCTGCATTGGCCAACTTGCAGGACCTGTCGTGGCCTTCCGTGGGAGGGGCGCTCGGAGGGCAGGACATGGAAAGCACGGACGAAAAGCCATATGGCCAGGAGTCCGCCTCCTCCCACTCTAGCTGGCTGCCAGGCGTCCTCTCCTGGGCGTCAAGCATGCCTAGATACCCTTTTACAGGGCGTCTCTCCTCTTTTCAGCCTCGAGACAGGGCCCATGCCAACAGCAGTCAGAAAAGATATGCGCAAGCGTCACAGGAACTGGCAGGCAGCCGCTCCTCGACACGCTGCGCCCGTGGGTGGTCCCTCCGCTGAACAGGCGCATCACGTCACCGGCTGCTCCACCTCCTTCCTCGCCTCGGCCAGCGCGGGCACCAGTCCCCCGTCGTACTTCAGGAAGCGTTCCGCGATCAGGATGTCGCTGGGCGTCGTCACCTGTGTGCCGAGTGGGGGATGGTGAGCATCCCAGCACGCAGCACAGGGATGTCCGAGTGAATCGCAGGGGAGCATCTCCCCTCTCATTCCCCGCGTGTTTGCCCCTCCGGACATTGCACCCCATCTCGGGCAGCGTTTCCCGGGAGGCTATCCTCGACCGCCCCCCGCACCCGCCTGACCTACACACCCCCCCCCTGCACACCTTGATGTTGGTGTATGACCCGCTGGTCACCCGCACTGGCTCCCCCAGCGCCTCCACGATGGACACGTCATCGGTGACCTCCAGCCCGCGCCGGCGGACCAGGTCGAAGCCCGCGCGCAGCAGGACCGGCGCGATGACCTGCGGCGTCTGCACCTCCCACAGCGCGTCGCGGCGTAGCGTGCGCACCACGCCCAGCGCGCCGTCCACCTCCTTGATCGTGGCCTTGGCCTGCACGCCAAGCACCGCGGCGCCGACCTGCGCCGCATCCTGCAGGCACAGGCGCACGTGCTCGGGCTTGACCAGGGGCCGTGCCGAATCGTGGATGGCCACCAGGGTCGAGGAGGGGCGGATGACCTGTTTGGGGGACCAGATGGTGGAGATGGGGTGTGTTGGAGCTGGAGGGAAGGGGGGAAAGGTTGGCAGGCACAAGGAGATGGTTGCAGGGGCCCAGGCGGGGCGGGGCGGGTGCGCCGGGAGGGGGGGCGGGGCGCGGGGAATGCAGCATCACAGCTCCGCCCAAGACCAGCGCCACCCCAGTCCTCTCCTCCACCGGCCTCCACCCACGCTTCCCCCGCCGACCTGGAATCCGTTGAAGACGGAGTCCTGGCGCTCGACGCCCGGCTGGGAGAAGACCAGGGCCGCGTGCTGCGTGGACCCGGCGTAGGCCTCCTCGAAAACGTGCCTAGGGAGGGTTGGGAGGGATGCAAACACATCGGTGGGAAGGCCTCACATCGAAGCTTACCGTGCAACACCGCCGGCGGCCTCCCCGCCCTCCCTCCTACCTCGCAGCCCATGGGATAGAGCCCATGCTGGCTGGAGGAGGGTCCTCGTGGCCTGCATTGGCCCCCCCAACACACGACGCCCATCTCACCGCCAGCTGGGGTCGCAGACGACCACCACCTCCGCGACCTCTGGCATGGCAAGGAACGTCCGAAAGGAGTAGGTGCAGATCGGCTCGCCCAGGATCTTCAGATACTGCTTGGGGATGGCGGCGCCCATTCGCTTGCCGGTGCCGCCGGAGAGCAGCACCACGCTCACCTCGCCAGGGCCCACTTTGGGAGGCTGCGCCCCTCCGCTATTCTCCTGGAAGTTGGGGGAAGTGAGATGTCAGGAAGTCCATGCAGCACCTGAATTGCGCGCCCTCGACGGGGTCAGGGGCAGGAATCGGGCATTCCACTCACGGCTTGGCATGACACCGAGAGTGGGCACCGGGGGTGCCTGGGAGGGAAGGCCCAGTGCTGACTGCCATTCCCTCTCCCGCGTCGCCTCGCAGGCCCCGAAGCGCGTATCTGTACTGCCACATTCCTCGAGTGCAAGGGTGTCGCCGCAGCACGCCCCGGGTGGGAGAGCCGCCCAGCCACGTCGGCCACCCTGCCACCCGCAAACATGCTCGCCATGAGGACCTGTTCAGCCTACAACATCATTATCCGCGTAATAGAGCCTCGCACGGTGCTGGGTCGCATTAATGGTCATGCAGGCTCAGCCAGGGCTTCAAATCATTGCGGAAACACGAGACGCCCGAGATTTGGGACCGATTTTCTCCAGTCTGGCGGATCTGGGTGGTGGGGCCATGCTGATGATTCCCACCCATGGCCTCTCAGGACACGGAACCCTTGCATCAATTAGGTGAGGGTTCAGACTGAGCAGGCTCCTGTGAATACATCAGCACATGGGGAGCAAGGCTACCCTATGGCTCCAGTGCACTGCTCCCAGCCACTGCCAGCGCGGTCTTGCCAGCTCGTGTGTGCAGTAGTCCGGTCTTCTTGAGCACATGCACCAGCTGCATTGGCGAAAGGCGCTGCTTGGATGACATGCTCACAACATGATCTGAACCATGCTGAAATTCACAAACTCTGCCTTACCAGGGCCACTCCTCCCTTTGTGGGTCCCCACCACCCGGCTCACCGCTGCATCAGGGGCCCTGTCTACCTCCAGTCCCATGGCATGCCACAGCTTGCACTGCAACCCCCCGGTGTCCGACTCCCGGAACGAGGCGGTCGGACCGCACGCCCTTCCCCAGTCCCTTTCCACCTTGGGCGCCAACTGCAGTGACACATGGGCAACGGGCAGGTACGATCCGTGGTCGCAGTCCACAACAACCGCCGGATGCCCAAGCATGTCCCTCCATGCTCCCTGGCATACTTGCACAAGCCAGCTGTACTTTGGGGGTGGTGAGCCAAACAGAAAATCTACCCTCACCGAGGCTGTTGCTTCAGCTAAACGCTTGGCCCGTGCCTGTTCGCGCTCCAGTGCCTCCCGCTCCTCCTGCCTCCTGGACACCAGCGCCACTGCTGTGTGGCCCATGCGGCATCGTGCCCTCTCTGCATGCAGCATGCCATCTCGGTGCTCCTGTGGCGGCGGGAGGGTGAGCGCTGACTCCTTGATCAGTGCAGAGCGGGATGAAGCGTGAGGGAGTCGACGTGACTCCTCGAGATTGCATGAGAAAATATCAACGATGAAGCTCTGGCCCTCAGCCTGGTTGAGAGACATCCTGCGCTGTGCCAAACCTGATAGGCCTGGAGTACCCTCTCTGCTGCAGTCAGGGCAGCAGCATGCCTGCACCTTTCCCTTCTCTCCTCCCTGCTCCTGAGCCATTGTGTGGCCTGGCTGCGGCGCCACCCCCCTTCCGGAGAGTCGGGGCAACTGTGGCCATCCTGGAGTGTGGAAACTTCCACTACGGACAGTTGCAGGAGCCTGTAGCCACACCGTTGGGTTCTGCTGGCCCGGTCAATCTCATCCTGCAATGCAGTGCATGCCGCCTGCAGAGCAGCAACGGTGTCGCCCAATTCTAGTGCATCAGGCTGTTTGCTACTGCTTCCCACCGTCCCAGGGTCGAAGCACATGTGGCTCTCGGGTTGTGCTCGCTCCTCGAGCGAAGGCTGTTGCTGGGTTGGGTCATCGAGGGCCTGCAAAGCCAAACTCAGCTCCTTTTCGCAGGCGAGAAGTCTCAACTGACGACAGGCTTGTGATCGATCAGAAACCCACTTAGACCTGGCTGCATCAACCTTGCTTCGCATGAGGGCTGCAAAGGCTTCATCAGCCCCAGCACATGATGACGGATTCATTCGGTAGCGGCAGCACTCTCTGCACGGCAGTCTTCGAGCCTCGTTCCGATACTCGCTGAATTGACTATTACTCCAATGGCCATCAGAAAGCCTATTTGCCATAGCATGGGTCATTCAGCATCAGCATACCAGCACTGGGAGGGTATCGAGGGTCAAACTGTGGGTCGAGTTCGGGACCGCTTTTCGGTACCATACCATCATTGGTACCGCTCTGTCCAACACACCGATAGAAGGCCTTGCACAGGTTTGAAGAGCACATTGCTGCGGGATACTGGTCGATAGAGGTTGCCAGACAGGATGAGTTTACTAGGAACAGGAGCAAATCAGAATGCTGGGCGCTTCAAACATGTGCGCCGGGCTTCCGGCCGAAATTGTTGGATGGAATGTGTTAACCGGGACCACTCGCCATTGACGATCATTCAATCGAACCCTCCTCTCTTCGAACCCAGATGCCATCGAGATCGAATGGTGCGGGAGCCGTCTGCCAGAAGTGCCTGCAGCCCGGGCACTGGACATACGAATGCAAGAATCCTGCGGCGTACTCCCATCGACCATCCCGAACGGAGCAGCTGAAGAATCCCAAGGCCCGCCCTCGCTTCATGGATGCATCAGAGCTGCCAGAGGAGCTGCAGGACAAGCCTGGAAAGCCCCAGAAGCAGGAGGGGAAGGCAAGCAAACGCAAGAGGCGCAGGAGTCCATCCTCCTCTTCGACATCATCTTCTTCGTCCTCTGGCAGTGATTCGGACAGTAGTGGAACCAGCTCCAGCAGCGGAACCAGCTCCAGCAGCGGAACCAGCTCCAGCAGCGGAACCAGCTCCAGCAGCGGAACCAGCTCAAGCAGCGGAACCAGCTCCAGCAGCGGAACCAGCTCCAGCAGCGGAAGCGGCACTTCCTCCAGCAGCAGCGGCGGCACGAGCTCGAGCAGTGGGACTGATGGCAGCAGCAGCAGTGACTCTGAGTCGGGCAGCAGCGGTTCATCCTCTTCCACCTCCACTGGACGCACCTCGGCTTCCGACACTGCCAGTCCACCCCCCACAACAGTGAAGAAGCGGGCCCACAGATCTGGAGCAACACCACCCGCAGAGGAGCCTATTGCGGCTCGGAAGCGATCGACGTCCCCATCGGCTGCAGCGGCAGCAGATACAAGCGCTACTGCATACTATCGACGCCCCAGTCGCTCTCCAAGGAGGAGACGACGCAGCCCTGACGCAGAGACAGCCGAACGGAGGAGAAGTCCCAAGCAGGATGATCGCTGGCAACTCCATTGACTCCCCTGCTGAGCGTGCCAGCATACTGACGGGAGTGTTTTAGGCACATGCTCTTCAGAGACCAGGATGTGGGTGTCGCTGAGAATGAGGCTGAGAGCAGAACAATGATTTCAGGCGCCCTCACTCCAAGCAAGACGTATCGGGGCGAACAAATGCCTGCATTGCAGCACGGCTGCAGCCTGCTCCTGGGTGGCTGGACCGCAAAGGCTCTCGCCAACTTGAACCCTGCTTCCACAAGCAATCCATACCTCCACACCCAGCCTCGCTCCCATGCTGGCCAACCGAGTGCACCGCTTGCAGGTCTCAGGGTACCACTGGGAATTTCATCAGAAGCACAACATGCATCATACGACTGAGTAGGAAAAGGGGCAAGGAACACGCCAGGGTCGAGTACGTGGCCGCCGTCTCAGGCCGTGAGGTACCGCGACGCTTCGGCGCGCAGCTTGGTCATGACTTCCACAGCCTTCTGCTGCTGGGCCGCCCCCGCCGTCGCGATGTTCTCGTCCAGCAACTGGATGAAGGCGGCGTTGATGCCGTTCTTCCCAGCCAGCTCCAGCAGCGCCGCCTTCTTGTCGCGGGCCTGCAGCACCCCCTTCAGGCTCTCCGCAGGGGTCACTGTCTCCGCCAGCTTGGTCTTGACACCCTCCAGTGCCTGCATCGCGACATGAGTCAGGTGGGGCTCGCGTGAGGAGGGGGCTCCCTCGCGATCCTTCAGCCTCCTTAGCCTGGCATCCTGGTGGCGACCCCAGGCACAACTTGCAAGGTGCGAGTGCAGAGAGTTGTGGGTGCAAAGCTTCCCTTTACCCCCCCCCACCTCCCCCCCGTTCCATCCTCTGCAGCCTGTCAGACCTTGGTGATGTCGTCCCTCAGCTGCTCCAGCTGCTTCAAGCGCGTGGCATCCGGCTTGGCTGCAAATCGCTCCGCGCCTGTGCACAGGGCAGGCTTGAGTTGATAGGCTCCCCAGCTCAAGCCAACTGCAGCAGGTCCTGCCCACACACATGCCTGGCGGCACGCATCCTCGCGATCCCATCACACTCTAGAGGCGCACCTATGATTCGATCCAGCTGCAGGAAGAAGGCGGGCGTCAGAAGCGGTGCGCAGCGGGCAGCCTCCCACGCGATCTCCTCCCCCGGAAGGTCCAGGAAGAAGGTGACCAGCTGCTGAGGGTCCTCTGGCGGCGTTCTGGCCTGTGGGGAAGGGGTGGCGGCATGCGGTGAGACATCAGGAGAAATCTCCCCACGAGGATCAGGTGGATCATGTCATGGTCCTCCCAGCCCCCTGCAGGCTATAGGCTGCTCACATCCCTGCGGCGCTGCAGCTCCTTTTGCTCCCTGGCCTTGAGCTCCTTGACCTCCAACTCAGCGGCGTCCTCCAGACCATACTTGCGCTTCGTCCTGCACCAGGTCGTCAGCGGAGCTGGTTGGTCAGCGTTGACGGGAGGGGGCCCAGAGGCTGGAGGAGCACCCAGACCCATGGTGTAGGGGCGCAGCTCAGGCATGCATGGCATCCTCCATGCTGGACAGGACAAGGAACTCATTGCAATGGTGCAGCGCACATGTTACGCGCCAGCAGGTTGCTTGCCGCCGGCTTCTTGGCGAAAAGCCCCTCTGGATCCTGCAGGCAGGCGGGTGACCGGGCGATGCATGGAGGTCCCCTCACACGCGAGATAGCCATGGCGGTGGTGAGGCGTCATGCGACCACGTCTGCAACGCTACCAAGCTTTCGCATCCTCGTACCCAGCTCGTCATAGCCTGCGGCGTCACTCTTGAGCATCTTTTGGGGGGACGAAGGTGTGCGAAAGAGAGACTCAGCCTCGTGCTGATTTCTGCGGCCGGGCCCCGGTGGCCCAAGGACACCCCAGCAACAGCTCCGATCATTGCAGCGGAGTATTTAAATCGTTTCGGCGATTTAGAGTTAAGATGCACAGGACTTTTGGTGCTCATCGGCAAGGCATGCTGCCATGCAGGACCGGATAACTCTGGGCGCGCCATGAAGGACACCATTTAGGGATGGCATGATTTTCTGCACTCGGTGAGAAGTACTTCCCAACAGGGAGAATCAATCACCGAGTGATCCAAGAGCGTAGAAGTTATGTGCTCCCACCACTTGAAGATTTGACAAGGAACTCAATTAAGCAGAAGTTTCCCAGTTGTGCTCACGTACGTCACATGGGGGACCACCAAAGTACAAGCATCACATATTGAGAGCAAATACAGACATCACACATGACCCTATCCCAGAACTGAAAGGGAAGAAATTTGCCGCGATGGGAAACCATCTTGAAAACACATGTAGAATTGACTTGGTCAACATGGTCATAGTAAAGCTGGTTCCATGACATGTCTGCGAGCAAGACACACCCCGCCAGTCCTCAATGAGTTCTCAGCGAAGGATTAACGAGTCAAAGATTCCTCGCAATGACGAATACTAGCTAGAGAGCATGTACGTCGTTGAGCTGTCGGTGCAAGACCAGTTGTGAGAGTCCGTACCACCCCCAACTGGGGGGATGATTCCCGATGCGCCCCGATCTCCTCTCCAGTATGAGGATTCATGGCGCGTGGAACCCACCGGAAGTCGGGTGCGGCGAAAATGAGTATGGCGCGTTCATACATGTATGGTGGAGCGATGTGATGAAATGCTCAGGCATTGCAGCGTCTTCCAGAATCGGAGTCGCCCATGTGGCGGTCCCCATGCGAGGTCCTCGGATGCTCGACCCTCCCGGGTGCTTAGGTTGCTCACTCGAGCCTGGGGTCTGCTGGCCCAGGGATGTGCTAGGCCAACCGACAAGACCCTTGCGCGTCGCACCCCGTCCCAGCCATTCTATCGACATGGATGTCAGCGCCACAGCATGCGCGGTGTACCCCCTGGAGGCAGCCTACGCCAGGAGATGGGCGGAGCAGTATCAGCGCCCCGGGGCCGTCGCTGCCTTCACCCATGAGCGCATGCTAGGGGCTCTGGCAGCCCAAACTTCACTTTTTAGAGGCTGCATGCACTGTGTGAGCTGCTGCTCCAACAAGCAGCGACAGCGCGGCCAACAACCCGGCAGGTGAGGTCCGGTCCTCCCCTCCGTACACAGTGTCGGGACCCATCCGTCGAGGGTCGGGTGCTCGTCTTCCCCTTCCAATAAATCTGTAATGCTGATCTTGACTGATTGGACATGCACTGGAACGCGTTGCGCATGCCTGCGTGCCCTCCTGACGAACCCGGCATCCGGGCACGCTCCCGCAGGTATACGACTTCGGAGGGCTGGCCCGGCGGGATCCCCTCCCCCCTCGCCTACTTCGAGATGAGGGCGCGCCAGCTCTCTGTCCTCTACCGGGCGTGCCATGGGTGAGTTGCCGGGACAATCCAATGGATTTGGCCCGGATGCAGGAATCGGCTCCTCCGATGCGCTTCCCGGCCCCATGTGTCCTGGGCAGGCATCCCTGCCAGCGCACCTTGAAACCCCACCCGCGCCCCCCTTCAAACCCCGCTCCCCTGCGCTCACACAACCCACCAGGCCCAGCACATGGAGGAGGATGGAGGGAGTGTCAGTCGGCTCCGACCTGGCCCAGCGGCGAGGTACGCGACAGCTCTCGGTCCTGGTGCCGGCGTCCCACACCAACATCTCGGCGGTGGGTCCCGCGAGGAGGGCATGCTGGATGGCAGGATGCAGAGCTTGTAAACGGTCACAGGCCTGGCATGCCTGGTGTCCCTGGAGCTGTCGATATGTGCATCCCTGCCCTGGACGACACCCCTGTCACAGCCCTCTTGCACCCCTCCTCAACATAGCTCCCTCCTGCCCTTTGCCCCCTCCCCTCTGCAGCACGACTGCACGGTCCGATTCGTGGGCGTGCAGCTGGCCAGCCTGGCTGGATCCAGTGCGCAGCGCATCGGAAAGGGTCGTGGCCTGCTGGCCACGTTCAAGGACGCGCCCAAGCGCTCGCGGGTGTCGCCGCGGGCAGGGCACCCCGCCGCGTCGGCCTCCGGCCCCCACCCCGGCCCCCAGGCCCCTGCCAGCAGCGCGCATGCAGCCCCGGCCTGGGCCGGTGTGCCCGGCCTCATCCCGGCGTCGCGGGGCACTCCCGACACCGGCCTCATGCCGCCGCTCACCGGCCACACCACGCACAGCTGGACCAGCTCGGCCGGCTGCGTCCCGCCGTCCTGCGCGGCGGGCGGCAGCTTCAGCTGCACCGCCGGCGCCAGCTTCACCAGCTCCGGCAGCGCCAGCCTCAGCCTGCTGCACACCCCCACCCCCGCCGCGGGCGGGCCCGCCACCTGCCTCAGCCTGGGCGCCTCCGGCAGCCTGCCGAGCAGCCTGGGCCCGGCGGGGGAGGAGGGCGAGGGCTCCTCCCTGTGCCCGCGGAGTGCGGGGCCGGCGGGCGTGGGCGCGGGGCCCGCCCCCCCGCCCGGGGTCATCTTCGCGCTGCCCCCCGCCTGCCCCTGGGGCGACGTCGACCGCGCGTCCTACTACTCCCGCCAGCTGGCGATCAAGGCCGAGCAGGCCTACAGCTGCCAGCAGGTGGTGGGGGAGGGCCAGGAGGAGATGGAGCCCGGCAGCGGGGCCTGGTCCATGCTGTGGAGCCTGGCGGGGAGGCTGACGCAGCGGCGGGTCAGCCTCCAGGCCTGACTGCATGGCGTGACAGCCGGGGGTGTCGGCATCCCCGGGGCGCTCGCGCAACCATGAAACATATCCCTGTCCCAGAGCGCTCGTTGCTGCGTGCAAACAAGTAAATATACCCGAAATCGGCCAGGCGAGGGGTTCAAGCGTTCCTACAAGGCTCGGTTTCGAGAAACCGGCTGCCGACGAGCTTGCGAGGGGTTGCCCACCCGGAACGAACAAAATATCCGATCCCCCGGTTTATGCCTCCGGCCAAATGGCCAGAGTACTGAGCCCCGGACGGGGGGATGAGTAGTTCAACACGAAGCTGTTTTCGTCGGTCCGGGGGGAAAATTGCATCCTGTATCGTAGTTTCACACCAATCCAGACCGCTGTTCAATTATGTTAATGAGAGGCCATGCACACCTTGGAGGGTGGCAGGGTGCGGGTCCCTCCGCAACCTCGCCCACCGCAAACCACATGTGCGCGGATCACAGCTCACACCCTTGGACGATGATGGACGCCACCCCCCAAGCCATCGGTGCAAATACAAGATATGATGCCTACCCCTGTCTCCGACAAGCATCTGGAGTCGCGGACGAACCCAGGCCGCATGCCGACCCCTGCCTGCGCCATTCTCTACCATCGCGCCCGCCGCGGAAAGGGTGCCGCCATTGCATCGCGTGCACGGGCTTCGGCCCAGCCGCGCAGCCCTCGCCTCAGCTGTGAGTGGGGGGATCTTCTCCTGGAGCGGTACCGGCGTCATGCCGGCATCTCGTCCGGTGTGCTTGCCAGCTGATCGTGAATGCCCCTGATTCCCCCAACCCCAACCGACCCCCGGCTCCAGCCTGAGGTGTTGAAGCGCTCCCCCCACCGCCCCAGGCCCGACGAGTGGCAGACAACCGGCGCATGGTCGGCCACGCAGTACTACAGGGCCTGGGCAGCGCACCCGGCCGCGCCGCTCCGCCAGGTGCAGCCCTGGAACAAGGACATCCTGTGGGCGGCCGCCACGCTCAGCGATGCCGACGCCGCGGGCAGCAGCGCGCCCCAGTCCGCCCCCTGGCGCCGCATGGAGGATGGGCCGGCCAACCCGTCCATGCTTCGCAGCCTGCGTGGGCTCCGGCCCCTGGCCGTTCTCATCCCAGACGCGTACACCCAGATTCCCAAGGTCAGGCAGGGGGACGGGGAGTAGGCGGACGTGTGGGCCAGGGAAAGACTGCCGGCATGTGGTCTGAGCTGGTGGGGTGTGAGCCAGGGTCCCGCATGCTCATTATAGCTCAGACTGGGTGCGCCGTCGGGAGCTCCTCTCCACCGTTTCCCTTGCCCCTTTCTGCACTACAGGCGGGGCGAGGGGTGGAGATGCTGCCTTCCCAAAACGCGCCATGCTCGAAGGGCCAGGTGGCGCTGCAAGCTGCTCACATTCCTTACGACTGGCCCTGCAGCAGCAGCCAGGGGGGCGCCTCCACCAAAAGCAACCTCCCGCAGCGGCAGGCTGGGCCCTGGGTCAAGACACCGCAGGCTCCCCTCGTAGCACATGTCTGGCAAACCTTTGCGGCCCCTGGTCGCCACACGCCCTTCTTTGGCAACACGACTGATTACAGTCGCTCACAAGGGTACGTGTAAAGGAAAAAGGGGACGAGCGCGGCGGTGGCGTGAAAAGATCGTGGCGCCCGCACGACGCCGGCAGTCACGGTGGGAAATGCTCTACAGATGCGACACGCGCCCAGAAGGGCGCCCCGCCCTGGTGGCAGGGTGGCGGCATGAGCGTGGGCCGCGGTTGCCCATGCTCCTTGGAACCCCGCGCGTGCCTCCAGAGCTGCCCCAGGATCACGGCGCGACTGACCCAGGGGTCATCTCTCGCCAGGCATCGCCGTGCAGGCTGCAGGCGCCACGCTCCTCACACGGCGGCGGCGAGGTCGACGCTGCTGCTGCGCGGCTTCCGCGTGCCGGCGGCCGGGTCTAGGGCGGCGGGGTGGAGTGCGGGGGGCGGGCTCGTACGATACCGCTGGGGCCTCTGCGAGGCGAGGCCGGGGACGTTGGGGTTGACTGGTGCAGGGTGGGGTGGGGGCGGGGTGTCCGGAGCGGGTGGGGAGGGGGCCAGGCAGGTGCGATGCATGTTGGAGACGCCAGACCCCCATCGCCAGGCACATGACGCCGCCGTGTACTTGCCCGACGCGGACACCAAAGGCTCCCTCCTCCCCCGCACCGTGAGCGAGTCGGGGAAGCCCGCCATCTGCACCTCCGAGGGAGCCACCGCCAGCCAGGACTGGCCCGTGCCCAGCCGCATCGACAGCTGGAGCAGGAAGGGGGTGACCAGGAGCGACAGCGCAGTGATGCCTGCGGGGAGGGAATCAGGCACGCTGAGGGGCTCCAGGGTCTGATGCGCAGGTCGAGCGGGTCGGAGTCGCCCTGCCGCAGGATGCTTGCCCCTGCCCCCTGCCTCCACTGCAGCGCTCCCCTACGGTATCCCACCAGCAACTCCCATGCAACCCAGGCCCCTCCGCATCCCATGCAAAGCGCGAGACCAGTGGTAGGGTCCTGAATGCCCACCTCTCCCTTGCATGCATCTTCTTACCCCCATAAACACACCGACCCTTCCCCCCTTACACCACCCCCCCGGCTCACCCATGAGGAGGAGATAGACCTGCGTGGCCAGCAGCTCCTGGCCGTGCGCCAAGGAAAGCAGGACAAAGACGAACTCGCCGACCTGGGCCAGGGCCAGGCCCACGCCGGCCGCCACCTCGAGCCCGTACCCAAACACGAGCACCACGCCGCCAACCTAGATGGAGGGGAAGGGGGGAGTGGGTGGGGGTGAGTGTTTGGCGACCTTCTTAGGAAATTGTAGGGTGCCCTTTGCGCACAGCACGCCTGCTCACGGCACGATGAACTGCGCAAGACAGAGACTGCGGCCACTGAAACAACGCAAAGTGAGTCGCCATGCGGCTCCAGCCAACACCCCCCCCCCCCCCCCCCCCCCCCCCCCCCTCCCCCCACCACCCTCCCACACA